GGCCAGTCGGGCTGCCTGCTGCCTCTGCAGGGCCTCCATTACGGCTTCCAGGCGCAGTCCCCCGGCTGGTGGGGGGGCTGGCACCAGGCGGGGCCCTGAGGAAAGGGCCGCCTGTGGGGGAGGGAATGATGGGTGTTGGGCCCTGCTGCCCCCAAAACCCCCAACACAAGGGGAGGTGGTCATGGATTCAGGGAAGAGCAGAGGGGCCCTAAGGAAAAAGGCAGAAAGAGAGCTTTCCCAGAAATCGACAGAGACAGAGAGGTAGAAGGAGCAGGAAAGAGAGAGACCAGACTCAAAGAGACAGAAATGGGCATTGGCCGAGGACAGGTAGAGACTGAGCAGATCAAAAAGGGTGACAAGAACCAAGAAACATAGAGAGATGGAGGAGAGAGAGATCTGGCAGAGAGAGACAATGACAGAGAGTTAGGGAGATAGAAATGGAAATGGGACCGAGAGACAAGGAGAGACAGAAGCCGGGAGAGACAGAACTATCAGGCAGAGACAAGAATGGAGAGACAGAGATGGGGAGAGGTGAGACTGATAGAGATATTGGATAGAGAGACAGGGAAGGTAAAACAGAGGAACAAGAGAGAAATATCAAAGACCTGAGTGACAGGCAGTCCAGAGAGAGGGACAGAGACAGAGAGACAGAGGCCGAGAGACACAAATAGTGAGACAGGGGTTGAGAGAGACAAGACGAGACCGACGCAGCAGGAGACAGAGACAGAAAGGAGAGATTAGAGACAGGGCGAGACAGTGAATAGAGGGGGACAGACGGAGAGATGGGGCAGAGACGCAGAGGACTGGAGCCGAGGAGGCGCGGGGATAGAGGGCGGCGGGGACAGAGCCCGGGACAGGGCCGGAACCGCGCGGGCAGGGGACGGCGGGGTCTCCACCGCTCTCTGGCTCCCCGCACCCCGCGGCCGCACTCACCAGCCTGGCGCGGCCCGCTGCCCCCGGCGTCTCCACGGCTCTCCCTCTGCTCCGCACGCCTCTCGGGCGGCCCCTGCCTCGGCCCGGTTCCCTGCGCGGGTCCCCGCCGTGCGCTCCCGCCGCCGTGCGCTCCTCTGGCCGCGGTGCGCTCACTCGCCGCTCTGCTGGCTGCGGCCACGGGGGCGGGACCCCAGCGGGGCAGGGCGGGCGGAGGCGCAAACGGGGAGGCCCCGGTGGGCTCTACCGCTCCAGCCCACCAACAGGTGTCTCCCACCCTCCCTATAGCCAGATTCGGGGGAATGGGGCGCTGGAGAGCTGCCGAAAATCCTGCAAAGGAGAATGAGGGGTCCACGGCTACTGGACTCCGGACCAGGGCCCCGCCTAGCCTCACAAGTCGTGTCCCCGACACCCACACTCAGTGCGTGGCATTCACACACAAACAGCCGCTTTCATACACCAACACACCTGTCACAAGTTCAGGCGCACAGCTGCCCTGTTTCACGTACTTGGCTACACCGACGCCGCAGCGCCAATGGCCTGGGCAGGCTATGATCATGAAGGGAATTCACTGTGCAGGATGCTGGGGTGAGTGTGGGAGGCCTGGACAGAACAGGAGCTTCTCCCCCTGCCCTGCCCGGATGCTATCCCCAACTGCATGTATGCTATCCCCAACTGCATGTATGCTGCAGTTTGCACAACAGTATGTGCCCCCGGTGGGTGGTGGACTCACACCTCTGCACTCACACTCTCAGAGGTCTCTGAGCTGATTCTACACCCACAGCAGGGTGCACACACCACATGCAGATGCACAAGCACATCGTTTTTTAGCTCTTTTGATGTTCTGTTATGGAAATTTTCCAACGTATACACAAGAGGAGTGAATAGTATAACGAACCTTGGGTACTCATAGCGTGTTTCAACAGTGATCAGCATTTTGCCTGCCCATCTTCACATGCATTCTCCACCCATGTGTGCCTGACTCCCCAGTCTGTATCTCCAGACCCCTTTGGCCAGACTGCTTCAGGCCCACTCTACCCTCAGTCGTCCCCCAGATGCTGAGATGCTGTTCCTTTTTTGGGGGTCCTGAGCGGCAGGCCACAGTTTCTCCTCTGAGCAGCATGGACCCCACCCCCCTCAGGCATCCTTATACATTCCCCTTTCTTCCAGTGCCCAAGGGCATCAACCTACCAAAAGCATGAGGGCCACCTGGAGGTGATGCCAAGAGTGTGAGTGAAAACACACATCTGTACGGGTCACACCTGGCAGGGGTGTGAAACTCTGCTATGCCAAACTCAGCACCGGGATCATCCCCTGACCTCGCACCCAGTGAGGCACACTGGTCCCAGGGCCAAGATTCCTCTAGAAAGCAGAAATTCAGGAGTGACTTTTGCCTCCCCCACCCCCCATCAGTCCCCTCCATTCAGACCCAGCTTGCCCAGGCCTGGACCACCAATTCTTCTCACCAGGAGCTTGTGGTAGGTGACACCTCCCTGCTCTTCCCATCTCCAGCCTCCACCCTTATCCCCAGCCCAGCTCCAACTGCCGCACTAGGTCCTTGTTCTCTTTGGCCTATCCCTGCCCACACTGAGGTTCAGTCCTACTCATACCTTGGGCTCACTCCAGTGCCCTCCTGCCCAGATTTCAGACCTGACAGCCAGGTAGACCCCCTCCCCTCAAGAAGCCTTGGTGATCCAACCACCTTCAGTACTGATGCCCCTTCTCCCACAGCTTCGTGTGGTAAGAGTTCTCCTGGGGCAGAGTGAAGCCCCCTCCTCTTCCCACCCCTCTCCGAGGCTGGGCCCATAGAGGGGAGAATCAGTGAAGGTGCAGAGGCAGACAAACATGCCCTGGGGGTCTCCTGGGGGCCTAGAGATCAGTGGACCTCCTGTGCCCAGCTTGCTCCCCTTTCCCCACACAGCTTCCCCTGGCTGCTCAGAGAAGAGAAGGTGCCTGGAGAGAGGTACAAGGTAAGACTCCTCTGGGAAAGGTAGGAACTGGCTTGGGGAAATTCCAGTTCTGAGGGTTTGGAGATTCTTTTGCAAGGGCAGAGGGAGAGGAGAGGGGCAAGGGGCTGGCGCCTACTTCCCAAAGAAAAGAATCAATCAAGCATAGTAAACCCACCTTTGGGGTCTGAGCCAGGAGGGCTACAACTGAGAAAGGCTGAGGGGAAGGAATAAGCCCGAGTGGGACCTGGTTTCTCTCTGTTTGTTTGTGATGAGGAATGGCTGTCTCTCACCACCACGCAGCCCTCCTCTGATCCTACACCTCACAGAGACAAAGACGGACAGACCTAGACCTCCATTCATCCAACACATACTTACTGAGCACCTACTTTATGCCAGGCATGCTGGACACAGGAGTGAATAAAACAAAGTCCCTATTATAATAGTATAATTCCAGTGGGGGAAATACATAGTGTGTTAGATGGCAATAAGGAAACTAATACAATGTTATATGCCAATTATATCTCAATAAAACTGGGGGGAAAAGACTTATAAATAGTATTTAAAGTCAAGAAATGGTTGAGATCACCTGGGAGGGGTGTAGATAGAAAAGTTTGAGGATTAAGTCTTGGGAAGTCAGAGGTTGAGGAGATAAAAAAGATCTAGCAAAGGAGGCAAGGAAGGAAGAGAGTAGTATCCTGGAAGCCAAGTGTTTTAAGAGTGATGAACTATGTTAAATGAAAGCTGAGAGGAAATAACCACTGGGCTTAGCAACAGAGATGGGGAGGAACCTGGGAGCCTAGTCCTATGTGGGAGGGATGACAAGGGGAGTGGAGGCATCCCTGACAGATATGGGCTCTGAGCCTAGAGGCAGAGCTGGGTTACAGGGTAGGAGAAATCCTTTGAGCCTTGACTTTGCAACCCATGATCAATGGAGAGATCCCAGCCAGGACCTGTCACGGCCAACATGGTGGTAGGGTGTCAGGATGGCCAGCTGGCCTGGACCTCACATTCATTCAGAGTCACAAATTTAGACTTTCTATGTTGTTTCCAAATAGTTATACAAGTAGTCTTTTGTACTTTTGTTCACTAGAATGTCAAACTTTTAGAATACCTGTATACAATTTTTATAACCATGTTCCTTCCCTTTTTAATATACTAGGAGTCCTAAGAAGTGAGAGTGGCCCAGGCCTCACTCAACCTTAGAGCAGGGCCAGGACGGTGAGGCAAGTGAGGTGCCTAGGACCCAAAATTTAAGAAGGCAAGTGCAGGGGCTGGCCCAGTGGCTGAGTGGTTAAGTTCCTGCGCTCCACTTCAGCAGCCCAGGGTTTTGCCAGTTCGGATCCTGGGGGCAGACATGGCACCGCTCATCGGGCCATGCTGAGGTGGCGTCCCACATAGAACAGCCAGAGGCACTCACAACTAGAATATACAACTATGTACTGGGGGGCTTTGTTAGCTCAGGTGCCAATCTAAAAAAATAAAAAAAAACCAAGAAGGTAAGTGCAGGGTCCCCGGGAGTGAGTGTACCTAAGGTACCTCTAGTCCCAGCCTCACTGAACTAGGACACCCCCCACCTCCGCCGCCGGGAGCCTCCACAGAAGTGGGGGGTCCTAGAGAATAAGGCTGGAGAGGAGGAACTCCTGCTCTGGGTCAGGGTGGACATGATACCCAGGAAACCCAGAAAAAAGCAGATGGAGAATGACTATGCCTCTTTCAGTTCAAAAATGGGTACACACTGCCACCCTGTGGCCATCCAGGGCAGGATTCCCAAGACTGTTTCCAGGGCGGCACTGGCAGAGGCAAACCAAGATACACAGCACCTCACCCAGCTCTGAATTTCTTAAATTGCAGCATTCAAAACTGGTGGAGCCGATCTTATTAAACACGCTGATCTCAAGGCCTCAGCCCAGAACTTATCTCTGGGGATTTGGCACAGCAATCTGTAGAGTCAATAAGCCTCCTAGGTGATTCTTGGGCACACTAAAGTATAGTCCTTATTACAGTCCAAAGCCACTGTCTTATACACTGAATCACACAGCAAGGCAGGGACCTTCTTGAGTGCCCCCCGCCCCCATCCCCCTGGAGCTGGCAGATTTCCTGCTGTTCAGGCACACAAGGAAATGGAACTGTTCAACAGGTCTTTATTAACAGAACAAACAGATGGACAGAAACACAGCAAGGGCAGTGTCTGGAAGCTATGATGGGTGTGTGTACACAGAAAAGGCCTTCTCTAGGCCAGGGCTGGTCTCCTGGACCTAGGCCCACCTCTCTCCAGTGGTGGGTCTCAGGCTGAGGCTGGCCTCCTCATCATACCCCTGAGGGAGGAATGGGAGGTCTTTCAGGATAGAAGGACCCTGACCTCAGCATTCTCAACATTCTTCTGGTTCCCCAGCTGACCTGGCTGCTGAAAGGGAGGGGGGCCGGCCATGAGGGCACTTGCATAGCAGGGGAAAGAATGGGGTAAGGCATATGGTGAGGACGGGGGCTGAAGGGGAAGGGCATCATAGCTGCAGGTGAAGGGGGCCTCCAAAGGCAGCTCCTCTCCTCCCTCCCCCCTTCCCCCCCATTGCTGCTGGGTTGAGGAGTCAGACCCAGGCAGACTGTAATACCCACCCCCATCCCTAACTCCAGAGCCCTGACTAGGGGCAGGGAAGCTCTGGAAAGGCCTGAGTTAGTGAGTCAAGCTTGTGGTATGTGTGTTTGAACATGACTGGCCCCCTTGGTATACGGGGGGCTCCCTCTCTGGATGGGTGTGAATGCATGATGGTGCCATACACACGGGATTCAGGATCTGAATGTGTGTCCCATATGTTCCCACAGGTCTCTATGTTTGGTTGTATAAGCATGTATGTCCCTGCTCGTACACCAGGAACTCAGTATCTGCAAGTTGTGAGTATGTCCTTGTCTTCTCACATGGGCTCCAGCAAGTGGCTGTGTATGGGCCTGCCTGCTCCTGTTCATCCACAGGTCCTCTTTCAGGGTTGGCTGGTCAGGGGTCCTGGCCGAAGAGGTAGGTGGTGAGCTCAAGCCGGAGGCCCCGGGCATAGGCGCGAAGAGTATAGAAGAGGGTGAGGAAGTCCTGGGTGCTGAAGATTGTGTCCGCCAGTGCAAAGGCCAGGGTGGATGGGATGACACCCCGGCCGTACTCCACCATCCACGTGTTTGGCCCCCACTCCACAGCTGTTGCCTCACCAGGCCCGTGCACCACTGTCTCCCCTGGGGGATAAGGAGCACCCACATCAGGAGCCCAGCCCTGCTCTTCCATTGCTGTCACCTCCCTGGCCCGTAGGCTGACTAGGGGCAGGGAATGGAGAGGGAACTTCAGGAAAGGAAAAAGCCTTACCAGACTGGCCTGGTTGCGCATCTGGAGGGGGAAGAGGCCAAGATGGCCACTCCTAAAGTTTCCTTTGTGGCATCACCTGGCTCTTGTCCTCTCTTGGGGGAAGCCAAGTGGGGCCACCTCACTTGGCCATGGGCCATCGTTTGGGGTGATGGAAGTCTGCATTCCCAAGCCTCACACATGTCAAGCAGAAATTTAGCTAAACTTGGGCCGGGCCTGTTAGATAGGGAGGGGTAGTTGTAAGACTCGTGAGGCTGTCTGAGAAATGCAGCTGTTCAGTTACATGCCATACCAACACTCAGCCTCAAACTTACTTGAAGCCCAAAGCTCTACTTTTTATGTAAAATGTTTCACCATATAAAAAAAGGAAGACAACTGTCTGCCTTCCCTTTAGGGGTAGGAGAGCATTTCTGATTACCCAACTGTCTCCCCAACCACTGTTGGAATACTGGATGAGTTAAAATAGGCAGATAAAAATCAGACATGGTTAACAGGAAGCTGTTATGTTTCACTTCCTTTTGACAGAGGAAAGCAACAGAGGCATTCAGCGGCGCCTCAACCAACCACCTGTGGCTTATCTGGAGGGTAAGGGAACCAGGGGGCGGGCCCCACAACGCACCCCTTTTCTCTGCCATGGCTCTCTCCCCCAACTGTATGCACCCCAGAATGAAGGGACCCACTATCTGACACGGCCTGCTTACCCACCTGGGTAGAAGACCTCACTTTTGGTAGTGCCCTCTCTCCACTGGTGGAAGGTGCCAGAGATGATGGTGTCCGAGATCTCAGCCCAATAGCGTCCTGAGGGACAATCAGATGGACACTGAATATCAGGGTGACCGCGCCATCACATGGTCTGGTCAAACATGAGAAAGGAGGGCGTGGGCCCTTGGATTGCCCCAGCCTCCCAGTCCAGCCCGCCGCCAGCACTGACCCGAGTGGCCGCCAGAGCCCAGGGCGGTACCGAAGAGCAGCACGTACTCGGACAGCGAGGCGTGCAGAAGGCACATGGCGCCCATCCAGCCGCCCGCGTTCACGAACACCCACTGCAGCTCCTCGTCGGGCAGCACGTGGCCTGGGTGCAGGCGCCGCAACTCCACGATCAGCCGAGAGAAGGCCAGCTCGTGGTCCAGCCCTGGCGGGGGGCAGAGGAGCAACAGGGTCAGGGCCAGCACCGGTCCCGAACTCGGGAACGAGGGCCCCGGAACCCTCAGCTGAGCTGGGGCCTCCCCCGCCCCGGCGCTCCGCCCGCTCCCCCGCCGGCTCACCCGCATACTGCCGCGCCAGCTGCGCGATCTCTTCGCGCTGGAAGACGAAGTTCTGAGTGCCCAGCCAGAGCCGGCCCACCTGGGCCAGCACGGCCGCGGCGGCCAGGAGCAGCGCGGCCCACGCCCACCTCCGGCCCACGGCCCACTGCATCCCGGCGGCGGCCTGGCTCAGCGCTGCGCAGGAGCGAGCCTCAGGCCGGGACTCTCACGGCCGCCGAGCCCGCAGAGCGCCGTGCGCGCCCGTTCCCCCGCCACCGCCGTGGTACGGCCCGCCGCGGCCAATCGGAGCGGCCCGGGCGCCCGGGCACCGCCCCCCGGGTTGAACCATCTCCGCGCGGGGAACGGGGAGCGCCGAGGGGCGGGGCAGGCGTGAAGTGAGGGGGCGGGCGTAAGCCGCCGAGCTGCCCGCCGTAGGGCCTCCGAGCTGGGTCTCTCCGAGCGCCGTCCTACGTGGGGGTAGCGGCGAGACCCGGACTGGACTGTCCCTCCTGGGCTCACTGATGGCGAGGCGGGCGAGCCCGGAAGCGGAGCCTTCCGGGACTGGTGATTGTCAAGGCCGGCCTTTGCTAGCACAGAAGGTGGGAGGAGCGACTCCAACCTGGGAACGTCAGGGAAGGCTTTCTCAACGCGGTGACACCTGAGCAGTGTCTTTAAGCGAGATGGGAAGGGCCGTCCAGCCAACGAGATCTACTCCAAGAGCAAAGGCACCGAGGAGAAAGACAGCGTGGGGTCTTCAGGGGCCTACAATTCATTCTTTGTTGTGAAGCACAAAATGTGAGAGCAGGGCCCTGTAAACCTGCTGCGGGTTATTGGCAGGGGAGTGAAAAGGAAGAGAAGCGAAAGAGAGAAAAGGCAGCACAGGGCAGTGATTAAGAAAGAAACTCTGGAGCTGGGAGGACTGGATTAAAAGCCTGGCTCCTGCCACCTGCTTGTTGTGTGATCTTGGGCAAGTTACTTAACCTCTTTATGACAGTTTTCTCATCTGTAAAATGGGATGAATAAAAGTATCTACCTCATAGCATGTGCCTTCATGGTGATGAAGATTAAGTGAGTTAATACTTATAAAAAAATTAGTGTCTGCCTCATTTTGTCATATGTGTTATCTAAATACAACAAAGACGAAGAGAACTGGAGGAGCATAGCCTCACACATGAGAGTGATGGAATGAAAGGTCAGAATAGGGGCAAGCCCAGTGGCGCAGCGGTTAAGTTCGCTAATTCTGCCTTGGCAGCCCAGGGTTCGTGGGCCTGGATCCGGGGTGCAGACCTATGCAGTGCTTGTCAAGCCATGGTGTCCCACATATAAAATAGAGGAAGATGGGCACAGATGTTAGCTCAGGGCCAGTCTTCCTCAGCAAAAAGAGGAGGATTGGTGGCAGATGTTAGCTCAGGCCTTATCTTCCTCAAAAAAAAAAAAAAAAAAAGAGTCAGCACAGTCAAATATATCTGAGAGGTCCAGTAAAATGAAGGAAAATGGTCATCCGGTTTCTCAATAGGGGCTTGTAGCAAAGACGATGCTATACATTCACAAATCCATTCCTTTTGCTCTTGGGCAGCCAGATTACATTCCACAGTTTTACTCTGTAGTTAGATGAGGTCATGTGATTGTGTTCCGGCCAATGCAGTATGGGCAGAATGATGTATGCCACTTCCCTGTCTGGCTCCTAAAATCTTCTGTGAGATTCTTTACATTCTCTCTCTTCGCTCATCTATTATCGTAGTTACATAGAATTAAGCTGTTAGTGGAGAATTCTGAATGCAGCATGGGACAGAGCGCCCCCTCTATCCCACAGTGGACTGTAGTGCTAAGTCACTTAGTTTGGGGTTGTTTGTTACAGCAACTAAGATTACTTACCCTGACTAATACAGGGCAAAAGACATGTTACAATGTACTGTGCAGGTAAAAGAAGAGGTTGGGAAGATGGACCATTTTTTGAGAAACTTCGCCAAGGGAAAGATACAGAAGGGATTATTCAGAGGAGAATGCAGGATTAAAGGAACATATTTTTGTATTGGCTCTGGCTTCTGTGACACTCCTGAACTGACTTCTCCAAGAATCCTGAGTAACAGGGACTAGCCCCCAAATCTGGCCTCTGTCCCTCTGTTCCAGGAGGACTGCTCTGGGACTGTCTAGGTCTGCCGCTCCCTTATCTGGTCTTTTAGAAAGCTTCTCCAGAGCTAGCCCAGTGATGCAGCGGTTAAGTGTGCACATTTGCTTTGGCGGCCCAGGTTTCGCCGGTTCGGATCCCGGGTGCAGACATAGCACTGCTTACTTGGCACCCCGTGCTGTGGTAGGCATCCCACATATAAAGTGGAGGGAGATGGGCATGGATGTTAGCTCAGGGACAGCCTTCCTCAGCAAAAAGAGGAAGATTGGCAGCAGATGTTAGCTCAGGGCTAATCTTCCTCAAAAAAAAAAAAAAAAAGAAAGAAAAAAGAAAAAGAAAGCTTCTCCAGCACACATGTTTAAAAAAGAAAAAGGAATGTCCTTTGGCCTTAAGAGAGTCTGTGACCCAAGGAAGGGGAATAAGGACCTGGGGTCACAGCCATCTCCCTAAATATTGTAGAGGAGATCACACTTCTGGGAGCTTGGAGGGAAAGGGCTGGATTGGCGCCATCTCAACTATTCTCTTCTTCCCCCCAAAAGTGACCTTGGGGAGACACAGAGAGAGGAGAATTTTGGACATGCTCCTGAAGAGATGTTCCTGAAGGGGCTGAGGAGTTAGTTGACATGATCCAGGGAGTGGCCCTGAAGCACTGGTGTTCTTTGGAAAATGGGGCTGCCTCCAAAATCCAATCAACAAGAAAGACAACTGAGAGTAGAAAAGCAGGTCTTCTCTATCCCCCTTTCCCCCATACCATGAGCAGCCAGTGGGACAGGTAAAATCCTATTTCTCGGCTCCCTGCTCCCTGCCCCCTACCTATCAGCCTCTTCTGATTCCAGTCTGAGGACCCTGGGGCAGAGGTTACCTAAGTGACCCATGACCCAGTTGTTATATCTGAGCTGCAAAACACCTGACTTGGCCTGGCCTGGCTTGGGGGAGGGGGCCTCCCTGCTACTGCCTAGCTCACTAGGTTTCTGTCTTGAGTCTCACTGAAGTCTCAGAGGCGTTTCAGAGAAGCAGGAAAAGCCTTGGAAACTTGAGTTCCAATCTCAGCTTGGCCACTCGTCTCCTGGGTGCCCTTGAGGCCTCTGTTCGCCACTGTGAAATGGGGAGGAGGTTCAGACAATATTTAGATGGCTCTTTAAAAGGGCCAGGGAGTAATTAATTTGAATTTTATCCTAATTTGATATCCTAATTTTATCAAATAATTTAATCTGAATTGTTAGCCAATTGGTTTGATCCAAGGAAAAGTTGGAGAAGGGAAGGGAGCATGTAAAGAAAACACTCCTGACCACACCCAGACGGTGGCGGGGATAGGGTACGGTTATAGTGTGGTACCCACTCCTCCAGGTAATACCTGAGGCCAGGGTTCAGCTAAAGCAGATCAAGCCTCCCCATCCCCTCCAGGTTGCCCCTCCTCCACCATAGCCACTGAGTAGGTAAGTGAGAACCCTGTGGATCCAGGGCTCTACCCTTACTTGACCCTGGAATGTAAGCTACGGGAGGGCCATGCCTGACTTGTGCACACAAGGCCGTCCCTTTGCTCCACATGGAGAGGTGCCTGGCACACTGTAGACATTTGGTAAATGTTTGCTGAATGAATGACCGAATGAATGGCTGCATGCAGCGAAGAATCCTGTAAGCGTCCTGGAGCTGAGGGATCTGCAGGGAACAGCTTTCACGGAGGTTCTTCCAGGACAGTGGTTTTGGCCCTGGAATGGAGTGGGATCATCAAAGTGGCCCCTAAAGTGCCAGGCAGTCCTGAGCCCCGCCCCCAGGGAGCAGGGCGGCCCCCTCCTGCCATCACGTGCTGGCGGCTGGCCAATCACCGGGGCGGGGCGGGGCGGGGCTGGGCTGACCTAGAGATGAGAGCGAGGCGGCCGGGCAGAAGTTCCAGACGATCGCCTCGGTGGCCTCATGTCGCGCAACGAAGAGGGCCCTGAGCAGCGCCAGCAGGCGTCAGAGGCGGACGCCACGGCTACAGCCTTCCGGGCAAGCGGTAACTGCAGGGCGGCCGGGACTCGCTGTGACGCGGAGCCGAGCCCTTCCCTTCCTTAGGAAGTTGTGGTCCCTACCCAGAAGTCGGCGCGCCCACCCGGCCGGCCCGCGGCGAAGGGACACGCCCGTGGTGGGGCTGCCGGCTAATTGGCGCTGGGAACTCCCAGGTCCGGGTCTTTAGCTCCTGAGCTGGACCAGGCCGAGAGGGGGCCTCCGAGCTTGGGCCTGCTGCGGGCTGAGACCCCGGGGGGAGGGAGCAGAGAACTTTGCTGACTGACCTTGACTTTGCCCCCAGAGCATCAGCATATCCGCTACAACCCGCTACAAGATGAGTGGGTACTGGTGTCAGCTCACCGCATGAAGCGGCCCTGGCAGGGGCAGGTAGAGCCCTCGCTTCTGAAGACAGTGCCCCGCCATGACCCCCACAACCCTCTGTGTCCCGGGGCCACACGGGCCAATGGAGAGGTAAGCCTTTAGAGCTCACATCTGCAGGCTGGGCCAGGGGGAGTACTGCGCCTTAGAGTTGCCCCTCACCCATGGGGTAGGGGACCTCCTTCTGGGTCATATCCCACGAAGTCTTTCTGACTCCAGAATGGGCCCCTTGTAGTCTGTCCAGCCCTTGAAGCCCACCAGACGACTGGTGGTAGGGGGCAGCCAATGCTTCTAGCCCATCCTTGTCAGTAGGTGAATCCTCACTATGATGGCACCTTCCTGTTTGACAACGACTTCCCAGCTTTGCAGCCTGATGCCCCCAATCCAGGTAAGCTGGCTCTAGCCGCTGTTGGGGGGAAGAGAGGCTGGCCTTCAGGGGGACTTCTGTTGCAGAGAGTGATAGCCCTTTATCCTAGGACCCAGTGATCACCCCCTTTTCCAAGCCGAGGCTGCTCGAGGAGTTTGGTAACTATGGCTTTCTTCTCTCAGACCTTGAACCCAGGCCTGGACTGAGCACTGGAGTGGCGCCCTGCCCCCAGCACAGCGAAGCCTTATACCTATGTCATCCCTCCCTCCCTCCCTCTCCACCTAGTAAGGTCATGTGCTTCCACCCTTGGTCGGATGTGACGCTGCCACTCATGTCAGTCCCTGAGATCCGTGCTGTCGTCGATGCGTGGGCCTCAGTCATAGAGGAGCTGGGTGCCCAGTATCCTTGGGTGCAGGTCTGTGAGGTCGCCCCCTC